CAAGTAAATGAACAAGAAATAAGATCTGTTCGCCTTGATCGGTTTTTGGACCCACACGTTTTGTGTTTTTTGACCCATTTTTCTTTGTACCTGTACTAACTAAATAAAATAATAAATGATAATACAAAACTGACGAGGGCATAGGCCCAAAAGAACAAAATATAAAACTTAGTAAAAAATAAATTTGAGCTTTTAGCTCAAGTCTTCAACTCCTTGGATTTTTTGATCTTTCTGACTTTGGGGTCTTTCATTCGTTTGGCGACTGCTTAGACTCGATGGAAGAAAGCATGAGTCTTTATGATTCCTCCAGAATGCAAAGGGGAAGTGTGAGTTCGTGATGAAACTCGGACGGATTTTACATGTGACAAAAGAAAAAAAAATTATTATTCAATAAATAAATCCTTGAAACAAAAATGAATGAAAATTGACAAATCACCAAATAGTAAGATACATCAAAGGAATGTAATTTACCAATGATGAACGGAGTTTTAAGTAACATGAGTTTAGAAAATTCAAAATAGATGAGAAGAGAAGCTAACAATAGGCCACAATTATCAGAGGCTCATGCCATTCAACTTTACTTTAAAATGATAAATGAATGAAATGAACAACTTGAGAGGATGCACAAAACCTTGACCGAGCTTCAAGTCATAAGCCAAGAATATAAGATAAATAATAAGTTAATAAAGTCATATATACCGATAACAACGGGAAAGGTCATATTTACAGTCAAGACAATTTGTTGCTTACTACTCTAGATAACACGGAAATTAGCCAAGAGATACACCTCTAGATGATAAGAATTACTAGAATTTTAAATATGAAATACCCAAATTGGAACCTTAGCCCACGTATACGACTCAAAAGCCCCTTTGAAAGAATCATAGCATGCATACTCAGAATCATAGCATGCATAATCATCCAAACGCAAGACACTAATCGAGCATAAGTTATAACACACCAACATGGAATTTGCACATTAGAGAAAGGTACAGTTAACAAAAGATGTAAGCTATAGGTAATAAGGAAAGAGGTCAATATATAACTGCATACTTCCCAAGATAAATTGTTCCAAAAAAAAAACACAAAGTCTCAGGACAAATTACTGCATTCCATCAAAATTAGTTGCGCTCTTAAGGTGACCAAGTCGAATTTTCTACTCTCATCGCAACACGAAATAAGAGAAGCGACATAGTTGGCTACGGAGGCATCACAAGAGAAAGGCGAGATGCAAACTCCCTATCAGTCACAAATATAACAGTAAAAAATGTCGTCGTCATCTCGGTTCACTCCTTCAACAGGAGGTGAAAGAGCAAAGCCCATGACATCAAGTATTTATCCATAATGCAGATTTAACCGTGTTTAAGAAACTAGAGACCAGAAAAGAAACATAATCAGATAATGCTTGACAAATATTCATAATTCCATATAAGGATTAACCCAAAAAATAACCAAGATTTTAAACATCATATCAGAAGATACCAAATTGATGGTAGCTTAAACAAACAGACAGCCATGGAACACATGCTTCTTAGCACAACAAAAGCATTGCTTTGAAATGGAAAAAGAGACGAGGAAAATATTGTAAGGAGGGGGCATCACCTTTCGGGACGCAAGCGAACTAGACTGATAGTGAGCTGAGGAGACTTCACCAGTATGTCGAATATGAAGTCAAACGTCGAATTATGACTTCGAGTGACAGTCAAGATAGTCAGAATGAAACAACAAAACTCAAAGTTCAAAAGAGGAAAGGAGTAAAGAAAAATCCTTCCCCTGTTTTCTTTGCCTATATCTTATATTTTCCTGTATAATCTCATCAAAATTTCACTCAATATGTGTTTTCTACGGAAAATTTCAAAAAGAACTCCTCTCTAAGGATCCCTTTCAACTTCCAGAATTTCTTCCTTTTACTATAAACTCTCTTTTTAGAGAAAGAAAAGAAAGACAAACTTCAAAAAAAAAAACCCAAAAGAAAGCGAAAACGCCCTTATATACTAGAAGATTAGGGTTACTTTTCGAAGGGAAATCGTGTCTGTATTGGATAAGGCCCAATCCTGATTTTTTTGAATTTCAAAATCTCTCCCACAAATGGAAGAACATCCTTTTCGTCCAAAATTTGTCCGATTCCGAAAAGATAAAGGGAGAATCGACATCCCCAATCGCTCCAATCGTCCTTTTAGTGCTATATGGAGCGATCTCGAGCCAAGAAGATGAAACGCGTGCCTCTGCTCTGCTGCAAATCGTACCAGCTGAAAGAGCCGTTAGAGAAGGGGAGAAGGCGACAAGAAAATCGCAGAAGAACCGATTCACGCGTTCAAAGCGTGAACTTGCGATGCACTCGCTGCTACTGCGAAGCGCGTCGCCTCGAGACGCTGCTGGTGCCCGCGACGATGAAGAAGAAAAGCGCGTGGGGTGGATTTTTGGCGTTGTATGCATTTCATCGCTGTTCTTAGCTACGGGAAGTGGAAAACGGGCCGGGTTAAAGGGAAAAGGTGGGTCGAGAAAATTGTTGGGCCAAAGAAATTGGGTTTGGGAAAATCAAATGGAGGAGTGGGCTGTTGGATGCAAACAAAAAGGGCCAACATTACCTTAAGGAATTGCTTAAGAGTATTTGCCTTAACGAGATGAAATAACGTAAATTAGTTTAAACGACCTTCTCAAACTTGAAGAAATAAAATAATTGGTTCAAATATAAATTAAATAACTTCAATAGCTAAAAATCATTCTAGACCAAATTAACAAAATAATCACTAAAATCAACGTCTTTTGAGACGATTTCGAGTTTTAAAAAAATATACTAATTATATACAAAATTATATAAGACATATGTATCATTTTGAAAAATTATAAGATGACTAAAATTACCTCAAAACAAGCTTACATAATATTTTGAATTTTATAGAACTAATTATAGTAAAATGTTTGGGAAAAAGGAGCTCATTAATTAATTATTCCGGAGGGAGTCAAAATTGGGGTGTCAACAAATATCTCCTGATACAAAAAGATAAGATAGTTTTAACTTAATTCCAACACTTTCTTCACTAACTAAAATCACATTACATATTTAAACTTATTTGACTAATTTAACAACTTACTTCCTCCGTTTGAAATTGTTTGTCATGGTTTCTATTTTAGAGTTAAACTATAAAATTTTGAATAACATTTTAAGATGTAATTTTTCATCATATTAATATGCAAAAAATTGTAGTTTATAGTACTTTTCATGTAGTTTTAGAATATCTATTTTTTTTTATTTAAAATATCGAATTAATGTGATCCAATTTACCTTTGAAAATTAGTCAAATTGACTTTCGATAAGCAACATGACAAACAATTATGGACGGAGGGAGTGTAATTCTAATTAGTTTAGTTTTAACTTAATTCCAACACTATATTCACCAATTTAACTGATTGAACAACTTAACAACTTACTAAGTCTAATTAATTTAGTTTTAACATAATTCTAACACTTTATTCACCAATTTAACTTATTAAACAACTTAACAACTTTCTAAGTCTAATTAGATTAGCTAAACTTAATTTCAACACTTTATTTATCAATTAAATCACAATACATATTTTGACTTATTTGAAGAATTTAACAACTTATAAATCTAATTAGTTTAGTTTTAACTTAATTCTAATATTATATTTACCAATTTAACTTATTAAACAACTTAACAACTTTCTAAGTCTAATTAGTTTAGTTTTAACTTAATTCCAACACTTTATTCACCAATTTAAGTTATTAAATAACTGAAGAACTTTCTAAGTCTAATTAGTTTAGTTTAACTTAATTCCAACACTATATTCACCAATTTAACTTATTAAACAACTTAACAACTTTCTAAGTCTAATTAGTTTAGTTTTAACTTAATTCTAACACTTTATTCACCAACTAAATCACAATACATCTTTTAACTTATTTGAAAAATTTAACAACTTATAAGTCTAAGTAATTTAGTTTTAACTTAATTCCAAACTATATTCAACAATTTAACTTACTCATTAACTTAACAACTTTCTAAGTCAAATTAGTTTAGTTTTAATTTAATTCCAACAATTTATTCCTCAATTTAAGTTATTAAACAACTTAACAACTTTCTAACTCTAATTAGTTTAGTTTTTCCTTAATTCCAACACTTTATTCACCAACTAAATCGTAATACATATTTTAACTTATTTGATGAATTTAACAACTTAAAAGTCTAAATGGTTTAGTTTTAACTTGATTCCAACACTATATTCACCAATCTAACTTAATAAACAACTTTATAAGTTTAATTAGTTTAGTTTTAACTTATTTCCAACACTTTATTCCCCAACAAAATCACATTACATATCTTAACTTATTTGAAGAATTTAACAAGTTATAAGTCTCATTAGTTTAGTTTTAGCTTAAATTCAACACGTTGTTCACAAACTAAATCACATCACATATTTTAAGTTTTTTGAAGAATTTAACAACTTATAAGTCTAATTAGTTTAGTTTTAACTTAATTGCAACACTATATTCATCAATTTAATTTATTAAATAACTGAACAACTTTCTAAGTCTAATTAGTTTAGTTTTAACTTAATTCCAACACTTCATTGACCAACTAAATCACAATACATATTTTAACTAATTTGAAGAATTTAACAACTTATAAGTCTAAATTAGTTTAGTTTTAATTAATTCCAACACTATATGCAACAATTTATATTATTGCACAACTTAATAACTTTCTGAGTCTAATTAATTTAGCTAACAACTTAACTAGGGTTGGTACTTATACTTATCAGACATATTATTCCTAAATTGAAGCTAAGTGTCAACACTAAATGGACACAAATCAATCTTACAAGAAAATCAATTTTGTCATCAATAGGATCAACTAGTGTTGGTACTTATGCTTAAAAAATATATTATTTATAAATATAAAGATAAGTGTCAACAATAGATGGACACAAATTGATCTTGAAAAAAAATCAATTTTGTTATCAATAGAATCAACTAATATTGGTAATTATGCTTAACGAATATATTATTTCTAAATTTAAAGTTAAGTATCAACATTAGATGGACACAAATCGATCTTGCAGAAAAATCGATTTTGATATCAATAGGATCAACTAATGTTGCCATTTTACACAAATAATATTACAAAAAAGATCTGCTAATAAATTCCAAATGAGGTAACTTTTCCCGTGTAAAGAATGACTGGTCTTTCTGCAGTTCTATCAGTTCTCTTGTTTACATTTTCCCTTGAATTCTTGCCTGTGTTTAAATTGAGATGTTTGAGATGATTTTTCATCCCAGATTGGACCCAAAGGAGATATCCTACGTGCAGACAGTTCTAAGCGTATCAGTTACGATGGTTGAATAAAAAAAATAAGCAACAGCAAAAGAATATCACAATGTTACCTGATGGCACTTTGATGCTAGAAGACAAGAGAGCAAAGGAGGTTGACTGACTGGATCAGTTGCTGCTGCACGACCCACTGCTGCACGCGTATATGATGAGGCATCGCGACCTCCAACAGCTGAGGCGCGAACGACTTCTGCGCATCTGCTGCGCGACACCAGCAGATGGGTTGGGTTCGATCATCGCCGCAGGTAAGAGAAGATGGCGTGGGTGGGTGGCCCCAGTTGGAGAAGATGGGGTGGGTGGCGCCAGGCGGGGCAGGGTGGGTGGGCGGCGGTCGGGTGGGTTTAATGAGTGAGGAGTGAGACAGATATTTCACTTAGGATTTTGATATTATTCTTCTTTTTATTGATAGAAGTACTTAATTTACCGATAACGTATGTCAGTATTTTTGAAAATAATTAATTTACCGATCATGAAATATTGATATTTTTAAAAACAATTATCTATATTTAACAATATTTAATAAATATCGACATTGTGAGGTTGATATTATTTAAATATACCGACCTCTTTGTGTTGGTAATTATTAATTTATTTTAATTTTTATATATATATATATAGAGAGAGAGAGATTAAATAGAAGTTTAATTTAATAAATTTAATTTATCGATCAAGTAAATTTTATAAATTTAAATTATATACCTGCTAATTATATAAATTTAATTTGATCGATCCATATGAGTTTGTTAATATAAACTCTGGTATATGAATCTCTTTGAATTGATCATTGATATTTCTTTAATTGATAATATATTTCATATATAATTAATTAATGTATTTTATACTTAGATGATGTCATCATAATTAAGAACTGACCAGTACACTTGACATACATTCAAGATCGAAAGTATATATATATAATAATACTATCTCGCATTTTATACTCCAATTAATTATATATTAGCTCTTCACCTCTACATCATAACATGAGATATTAAGGGGTCGTTTGGTACAAAGATGCATAATGCAGGGATTACTAATGCATGGATTAGTAATGCAGGGTTTAGTAATGCAGAGATTATTTTTTAGCAAGTGTTTGGTTCATTATTTCCTACCCAGTCTTATGTTTGGTTTAAAACTTTAGAAAAAGTTTATTTCCTATTATACCCTTTAGTTATTGTGAGATTATGTTTCATTTAACTAGTCAAGTTAAATATTAAAAAAAATATAAAAATATTATTAATTTTGAGGTGTGATATGTCACATGGTATATTTCTAATTTTTTGTTGGTCAAATATACCTTGAACTTAACATGAATTTAAGGCTACTTAAATTGTTCAAATACGCTTAGCTTATTTTAAAAATTAAAAAAAAATAGTTTATATGGTCAATTGACGAACTACATTTAAAAACAAAAAAACAAAAAATCAATCCAATATAACAACTCAAACATGGAGAAAAAATATTTCCTAGTCTTATGTTTGGTTTAAAACTTTAGAAAAAGTTTATTTCCTATTATACCCTTTAGTTATTGTGAGATTATGTTTCATTTAACTAGTCAAGTTAAATATTAAAAAAAAAATATAAAAATATTATTAATTTTGAGGTGTGATATGTCACATGGTATATTTCTAATTTTTTGTTGGTCAAATATACCTTGAACTTAACATGAATTTAAGGCTACTTAAATTGTTCAAATACGCTTAGCTTATTTTAAAAATTAAAAAAAATAGTTTATGTGGTCAATTGACGAACTACATTTAAAAACAAAAAAACAAAAAATCAATCCAATATAACAATTCAAACATGGAGAAAAAATATTAGTTTGTGAAATCATCAAATTACATGGAATAAATTTGAAGAATTAAATGAACAATTATAAATATTCTCATATAAATAAAAAAAACATTAATTACAAAAAAAAAAATAGGAAAAAAGATTTGGGGATAATTTAGTCATTAGGGGTCTTATCCAAGGATTGCTAAACCTTGGATTAGCTATCCCTCCCTTTTCTAGGGATAAAATAAGACCATGTATGAGGTATTAGTAATCCATGGATTAGGTTAAATAAAGTAACCAAACAATGTTTTTGTTTGGACTATATTTTAATCCATGGATTATTTTGTTTAATACTTCCTACCAAACGGATCCTAAGTTCATGATTAGACGATGAACTGATAGATTTGTATATTACTCTAGAAATATAAGTATAATTATATCTCTAATTCATATTAACGTAGTTTTATACTCTAAATATGGATTATAGATATTTTTTTATTTTTTCCACGAAGTCTAACTTTTTATTTATAAAAGTATACAAAATTGTTACACTTTTTGAACAATAAGTTTCAAATAAAATTTTGGTATTATGCTAAATAGCAAAATTATGATTAATAGAGATATTTTAAACAAATCAACCTCTGGATGTCACTTTTATTAAAAGAAATTAGATAAATAAAAAATATCGACCTCATGAGGTCGGTATCACATTAATTTTAAGATAAATAATAACTAATCATGTTAATCAAATAATATTGACATTGATATATATATAATTTAATAAATTTAATTTATTGATTAAGTTAATTCTAAAATTTAAATTATACACCTCCTAATTATATAAATTTAATTTTATCGATCAATAAAAGTTTATAATTATCAAATCTAATCTATAAATCTCCTTAAATTGATCATTGATATTTCTTAATTCTTAATGTATTTCATATATAATTAATTAACATATTTTATACTTAGATGAAGTATCGTTTCTATGTCAAATAATTAGGAAATGATCATTACACTTAACATACACTCAAGATCGAAAATATACATATAATAATGCTATCTCGCATTTCATACTCGAATGGATTATATGTTAGCTCTTGATCACCTCTACATCATAACATGAGATATTATGTTCATGATTAGACGACAAGACTGATAGATTTGTACATTACTCTAGAAATATAAGTATAATTATATCCTAATTCATATCAACATAGTTTTCTACTCTAAATATGGACTAAAGATACTTTTTTATTTATTCCACGAGGTCTAACTTTTTATTTATAAAAGTATACAAAATTGTTACACTTTTTGAACAATTAGTTTCAAATGGAATTTTAGTATTATGTTAAATAGCAAAAATTATGATTAATAGAAATATTTTAACCAAACCAACCTCCGGATGTCGTTTTTATTAAAAGGAATTAGATGTAATAAAATAATAATGACATCATGACGTCAGTATCACATTAGATTTTAAAATAAATAAATACTAATCATATTAATTAAATAATATTGACATCGAGATGTTGGTATTTTATATTAATTTATTTTTTGACTTATATAAAACCGTCATCCGGAGCATGATTTATTTAAAGTTAATTGAAAATATATTTTTTTAAAGCACGGTATAAATATTTGAATTAAAATTTATTTAATTTCATAATATTTAATTTTACCGACTTTGGAAAGTTGATAATATAATGTTTTTTGTTTTTCATTTTATGTAAAACCGTCCTCATGGGTCGATACTTGGATGAAATAAAAATACTCGCATCATGGGGTCAGTGTTTATATGATGTAATGTCACGACCCAAAAATGGACGTGATGACACTCGTCTTATCACAACAAGACAAGTAAGCCTAAAACATAAAACCATTACACTAAAATGCAGAAATTCTATAACAAACTCAAAAATACCACCAAAATCTGATTGTCACGTGTACAAGTCTCTAAAGTATTACAATTGATTCAAAAGAAAACACATGTCTCACATGACCTTGTTTCTAGAATAGAACAAGATCATAATTAAGAAGAAAGAAGGTCCGCTGAAATGACAAGCAACTACCTCACAAACCTCCAAAAGAAGCCTCGGACAAGGAGAAAAGGAAATATCACAAAGGTTCGTGCTTGTAACCTACAAAAACTTGTAGAAGCAACGGGTGAGTACGAAATCACGCAGTACTCAACAAGCAAACCTCTAAACACAAGTTAAGCGAATAAAATACGGGTACAACTTAATCCCCATCCAAACCCCCACAAATACAACCTGAATAAAACCAACTAAACCCAACACCTCAAAGTTTACATAACATTTTAGCTTAACATCAACAGTTAACAAATTACATATCCTCAACATCAATACTTTAACAAATTATGTGTCCTCAACAAAAACACTTTAACAAATTATATATCATCAACAACAAACTCAGTATTCATCTATCACAAGTTTCACAAAAGACACTTGCAAGATCCACAACACACAATATCACGTTCATTAATGATAAGTATGCGCAATGCACTAGAATGCAATGTCAAGTATAATGATGCATGTCTGAGCTAGCGATACACACCCGTTGTCTCTTAGTCCAGGACTTATGGGGGACATATCTGTCCATGCATCCATCGCGATGTGCAATATGACCCTGGATAATAGTAACAATCGCGGCGCGCGATTCGTCCCTTGAAATATAGTTTCCATCGCGGTGCACGATACGTCTCTATAAATGGTACATCTTCTTTAATTTATTATTCTTTATCAATTCACATATAAATTTTCACAATCTTGTCTTAGAACAATGCAAATGACATGTTCACAAAAATAACTAGGAGATGACTATTTTCATAACAACATCAACAATGATTGAACAAGTAATTCAAACCCTTCTCCCTTATCAACTAATCACACACAAGCATTTATTCACATTTCCTTTTATTTCCCTTTTTATTTCATCACTAGAATCAATCAATGTGGATAACTCAACCCATCACCAAGTCTGTAACGACCCATTTGGTCGTTTTGAGTACTGAAACTTTTTTTTTAATAAAAAATTTCCAATAGATTCTAAATAGGTATTTTGGTCTATTCGTAATTATAATTAGAAAATCAATGGAGTAGTATAATAATTAATTTTGTTAGTGGTTAAAAAAATACTAAAATTAGTAGGGGTCACTTTTATCCCTTTTATAATTAGTCTTTAAATAATTAGGGTAACGAAATTATTTGTAGAAGAAACGAAAGGAGGCGCATGATTCGACGCCACAAACAAAGCCACTGCATTCAGGTAGGAGCTTCAACTTTGAAATCTTGAAATACGTAATAAATATGTCGTCACGAGAGAATAAGGAGAATTATAGTGATTTAGAAGATATTGCTTCTTTTAATTAAATTATTAATGTTAATAATGTTAATGTACGTGAGTTGTTTGGATTTGGGCCAAGATTTAGTGGGTAATGTGAGGTAATTATTTTAAGGATTATGATCTTTGTCACAAGGTATTGAATTCAATTATTAATTAATTATGGAAAAGGAATTAAGGGTTGCAATTGGCCAGTGAT